GAAAACTTCAGGCCAATATCCCTTGTAAACATTGATGCAAAGATCCTCAAAATACTGGCAAACTGAATCCAGCAGTGCAACAAAAAGCTTATACACCACAGTCAAGTTGACTTCATCACTGGGATGCAAGGCTGGTTCCACATAGGCAAATCAATAAATGTAATTTATCACATAAACAGAACTAAAGACAAAAACCACATGATTATCTCAAAATACACAGAAAAGGCCTTCGATAAAATTCAACATCACTTCATGTTAAAAACTCTCAATAAACTAGGTGGCGATGGAATATACCTCCAAATAATAAGGAATTATAATTTAATGATAAACCAACAGCCAATATCATACTAAATGGGCAAAAGCTGGAAGGAGTCCCCTTGAAAACCGGCACAAGATAAGGATGGCCTCTGACCCTATTCAACATAGTATTGGAAGTTCCGGCTAGGGCAATCAGGCAAGAGAAATAAATAAAGGGTATTCAAATAGGAAAAAAGGAAATCAAACTGTCTCTGTTTGCAGATGACATGATCTTACATCTAGAAAACCCCATTGTCTCCGCCCAAAAGCTTCTTAAGCTGATACTTTGCCTGAAAGTATCAGGCAAAGTATCTGGACAAAAAATCAATTTGCAAAACTCACAAGCATTCCTATACACCAACAATAGACAAGCAGAGAGCCAAATCATGAAGGAACTCCCATTCACAATGCTACAAAGGGAATATAATACCTACGAATACAGCTAACAAGGAAAGTGAAGGACCTCTTCAAGGAGAACTACAAACCACTGCTCAAGAAAATCAGAGAGTACACAAACAAATGGAAAAACATTCCATACTCATGGACAGGAAGAATCAATATCATGCAAATAGCCATACTGCTCAAGTTAATTTATAGATTCAATGCTGTTCCCATCAAACTACCATTCACATACATTCTTCACAGAATTAGAAAAAAAAAAAACTGCTTTAAGATTCATATGGAACCAAAAGAGAGCCCATATAGCCAAGACAATCCTAGGCAAAAAGGACAAAGTCAGGAGGCATCATGCTACCTGACTTGATACTATACTACAAGGCTACAGTAACCAAAACAGCATGGTACTGGTATGAAAACAGACACATAGACCAAAGGAACACAATAGAGAACTCAGAAATAAGACCACACATCTATATCTATCTGATTTTTGACAAACCTGACAAGTAATGGTGAAAAGGATTCCCTATTTAATAAATGGTGCTAGGAGCACTGGCTAGCCATATGCAGAAAACTGAAGCTGGACCCCTTCCTTACACCTTATACAAAAATTAACTCAAGATGGAATAAAGATTTAAATGTAAAACCCAAAACTATAGAAACCCTAGAAGGAAATCTAGGCAATACCATTCAGAACATAGGCATGGGTAAATAGTTTATGTTGCAGTCGGCAAAAGCAACTGCGACAAAAGCAAAAATTGACAAATGAGATTTAATTAAACTAAAGAGCTTCTGCACAGCAAAGGAAACTATCATCACAGTGAACAGGCAACCTACAGACAGGGAGAAAATTTTTTTGCAATCTGTTCATCTGATAAAGGTCTAATATCCAAAATCTACAAGGAACTTAATTTACAAGAAAAACACACAAAAAAACTCCATCATAAAGTGGGTAAAGGACATAAATAAACACTTTTCAAAGGAAGACATTTATGCAGCCAACAAACATATGAAAAAAAGCTCAACATCACTGATTAATAGAGAAATGCAAATCAAAACCACAATGAGGTATCATCTCACACCAGTTAGAATGGTGATTATTAAAAAGTCAAGAAACAAATGCTGGCAAGGCTGTGGAGAGAGAGAACTCTTTTACACTGTTTGTTGGTGGGAATGTAAACTAGTTCAACCACTGTGGGGAAAAAACTGAAGTGATTTTTTTCTTCAAAGACCTAGAATCAGAAATACTATTCAACCCAGCAATCCCATTAATGGGTATATACCCAAAGGAATAGAAATCATTCTATTATAAACATACATGCACATGTATGTTCACTGCAGCACTGTTCATCATAGCAAAGACATGAAATCAACCCAAATGCCCATCATTAAAAGACTAGATAAAGAAAATGTACATATAGACCATGGAATACTATGCAACCATAAAAAGGAATGAGATCATGTCCTTTGCAGAATCATGGATAGGGCTAGAAGGTGTTATTCTCAGCAAACTAACACAAGAACAGAAAACCAAACACTGCATGTTCTCTCTTATAAGTGGGAGATGAATAATGAGAACAAATGGAAACAGGGAGGGGAACAACACACACTGGGGCCTGTTGGAGGGAGTTGGGGTGGAAGGGGGCTTGGGGGAGGGTGTGCATTAGAATAAATAGCTAATGCAAGCTGGGCTTAATACCTGGATAAGTTGATAGGTACAGCAAACCACCATGGCAAACGTTTACCTATATAACAAACCTGCACATCCTACACATGTATCTCAGAATTTAAAATAAAAATTACGTGCATGTCATGGGGACTCTCCAGTGTCTCTTGCATCCACCAACTCCTTTTCTTTCCCATAGCTAATGCTCCAGTGCAAGCTAGCATTTCCCCTTCCTAGGATCTCTCTTAACCAGCATCTGTCTCATGATCAAATGTACACAGTAGGGCCAGGATCATACTCTTAAAGTATAGTGCCTATCTTTTCACCATCTTGCTGAAAAACCTTCAGTGGCTTTCAGTACGGTAGAGAAGATACTCCACTGTCTCATTTTCTAACACTTACACAAGACTTACATGGTGCTTGTTATGTGCCAGGCACTGTTTTAGATGTATTATTCTATATTCCTCTTAACAAACCTGTGATGTAGGTACAAATACTATCCCCACTTTATAGAGGAGAAAACCAAGACACAGTTCAAGTCACTTGTCAAAGGGGACACAGCATGTTTCAGCACTGAGGCTAGTACCCCGGGACTCTAGCTCCAAAGTTCTATCTCCCTGTTTCTTTTTCTGCCTCCCTACTCTCTGACTAAACCAAATGCTTTTCTGCTTTGGGGTCTTTGCTTACAATTTTCTCTTTTCCTGCTATAGCCTTCTCCCATATTTTTCTATCTACAAGATCTGAAATGCCACCTCTTTCATGATGCTCTCCCAGACACCTTGTCAATTCCACTATATACATTTTTCTGCTATAACATTGTATTTTTCTACTATGTTAATTTGAATGTACATTTCTAAGTTATAACTCTTGGAAGAGTAGAACCATGTCTTATTTCTCACTGTCCACCTTCAGTACCTAGTAACTCTTCCTGACACAAGGGAGACTGATGTGCAATTGCTACAACTGCAAGTAAATAAACTAATGGGTGAAATCACAATATTAAAAAATATAGGCCAAGTGTAGTGGCTCATCTCTGTAATCTCAACACTTTGGGATGCCAAGGCAGGAGGATTGCTTGAGGCCAGCAGTACAAGAATAACCCAGGCAACATAGTGAGACCCCCATCTCTACAAAAAATTGAAACACACACACATACAAACTATAGACACTAAAAAAATATTAATTGATCTGCAAAGATACATATATTCAAAAGACTCTAACAAGCTCTGAGGGCAATTCAAGAACTGTTTTGGACACTAATATAATAAATACACAGCATTCCAAAATAATCACTTTGAAAATGACCAAAGATTTTCATGGCTTCAACTAATATTTATTGAGTACCTACTACATGCCAAATATGAAAATACAAAAATAAAAGTCCTAAAGTGTTTAATAGAAAAAATCAGTCTAGCTCCCTCATATTGTTAAGGAAGGAAGTCTAAATGATAAAGTATCATTGGGAATTCTCCTGTGGTATAAAAGCCTCTAAAAAACATGCCAACTGGGCACAGATCTCTCTTCAGTGGGAACAATCATCACTAGGAATCCAAAGAAAAATTCCTAAAAACTATGAGATATAATGCATATACCTGCCACCCCACCTCCACCCCCTGCCAGGAATGTGCAGGAAGCCTCATGTTTTGTATACTTCACATGAAATAACTTCTATGTATGAAATGTGTGGGAATTTGAGATTCCTGGTAAAAGATGCCATACTTCTTCAAAGTATAAACAAAAACAATAGTGTCATCTGCCATTAAAAATATAGCTTTAAAAGAAAATTAAACCAAAAGAGGGGAAGAGGGAAATTCATCTTTAATGTATCTACTAAGGGGTATGTTTAAAGCTGAGCTATTTCCTAGATCTCTGTATGACAACATCCTTAGAAGAGAGTCTAGGTTTTCAAGAACTGTAGATTTTTCCTCTTTTCCACAGATGTCTGCTTTTATTTTGAGATGTCTGATTCTTCTGATGAAATAAACCCAATCACAGTGTTCATTTTCCTTCAGTTTTTGTTTATTTAATTAACATGATTTCCTACATGATTATAAAGGCCATAATTATATTATCAAATCCCTGTCAAAGTAATGACTTAGTATAAAATGTTAACACTTAGCAGTGTTTAAAACAATATTGAAAAAAAAAAACCCAGTGTGTGAATAGGGTGAATTTATTCAGACTATTTCCTCTGGAATGCAAATGGAAGTTCTGGCTATCTATATTTTTTATTATTATATATTATTGCAAGGAGAAACTATTTTTAGCCTTTATGAATAGTAAATGTCTATCCCAAACCAAGATCTTTTTCTGATTGTTTTATAAAGGGCACCAGCTATTATGAAACCAGAAATAATAATACGACAAAAGAACATAGCACAAGGAAGGTACACATTAGCAGTTAATATTTATAGCTAAAATATTTGGGGATAACACAATCAGAAATATGGAGCTAAAAGGAATTTCATTCGAATTTTCTCTTTCCTTTGGTTGGATACACATGCACATAGCCATTCTAAATATATTAAGAATATTCTTTGTTTTTAGCCTGTCACAGTTAGAGAGTCTATCATCCTCTTTTGTCTTTCATGCTGTTTCTGTATGCTCCACTGAAGTCTATTTCTCTTCTTCTGTCCTGCAGATGGAGAACTGGCAGCCACCCTTTCTGTAGCAAGAACCTTTGAGTACTTGAAGATAATGTTTAATCACTCCTCAGTCTTATTGTCTCCAGAATAAAAACAAAGTAGAAGGTTTTGTCTTTTGCTTTTTAAGGATGTCAGAGGATATGGTTTATTGTTGACCCATATATAACATTCAAAATCCTTACAAGCAAGTGAAGGAAGAGGAAAGGAATACACAAGAATAAAGGTCCAGCAGGCCAGCTGGAATGGAAAAGAAAGGCTAAAAGGAAGGAATAAAGAAAACATTCATGGAGAGCTTCAAAAATAATATTTGAGTGCTTATTACATGCAGGGCACTGTGCAGACTCCTTTATATAGCTGTCATCATCACCATCATATTAGCTAACACTCGAAGACAGACTATGTATCAGGTACCATTCTAAGTGCTTTTCATGAATGAACTCACATAATCTTTAGGACATCCCAAGGGTGAGATTATTACCATATTACAGCAAAGAAACTGAAACTTAAGTTCATAATAGCTTCATATATGTGATGCTTTCTATAAGGTTAGATATATTATTTTTTTAACATATGATAATGCTGAGAATCACAGATAAGTAACATGCTCATGCTCAAAACAGCTGGTGACAGATTTGTCTGATTCCAAAGTACTTTTTGACTATAGTAAATCCTCAATATCATCAATACATTCTTGGAAACTGACTTTAAGTAAAAGAAGATATATCAGATCTTCGAATAACACTGTCATTATAATACTGATGATAAAAAATTGGTTTTGTTACGTGTTTAATCACTTAAAGTCAGTTTTTAAGGACCTCTCAATGATTTTAAGTGAGGACTTACTGTACATGCTTCACTTGATTCAGAGAAGAAAAATAATAATAATGATAGAAGCACTAGCAGTTACAGAGTATGTATTATATGCCAGGCACCGTTTAAAGTCTAAGTATTCACATATTTAATCCTCATAACAATCCTATGAGAATAGGTACTATTATTTCCATTTCACAGATGAGGAAAATGACTAATGTACTTAGTATTATTCAGCTGCTAATAGGAAACTGGGCCTCAAATCTAGTTCCAGAGCCATGCTCTTACCAAAGCACTGTATTGCCCCTTGTAATTGAAATACACATGAAAGCAGTTGTTTGGGATACTAAGAATGGTCTCACAGGTAAATATACATTGACACTATCATATAGCTACTATTTACTGAGTGCTTACTAAACTCTTCTAATAGATATTGTAATGTGCCACCCAACTACCCCTTCGATAATAAAGGACTTATTTCCACAGCTAAAGAGATTGCTAAAAGATGACACTCCTTAGTTACTAGGTCCCAGCTGAAAAACACCTGCCAGAGTGTTGGCTGAGGTCTTCGTTGGAATGCACTGCAGCTTATCTTCCACAGATATTGACAACACCCCCAAATAAACACAATGAATAGTTAATCTCAGGTCTGCATCTCTAGGAATCCAACCTGTGACAACACTTAATGTCATTTACCTCACATGATGCTATACATTAAATGTTATTATCCTCATATATTCCTTTTATGAATTAAGACACTCAAGCTTAACTTGCCCAAGGTCACAGAGCTAGTCAAGGATGGAGTCAGAACTTGAACTGAGATTGTCTAGTTCTGGAGGCTTCGCTCTCAACATCTGTGTGATTGCAGAGGAAGAGATTTCAGTAAATGAGACCTACCATTGGTTTAGCATGTATTTTTTGTTTAAAGCAGAGGTAAGAATAATAGTTGGAATGACCTGAAATGCAAAGAAGGTCTCCTAAAACAACATTTCCTCTAGGCCTTCTACAACTATTTCTTGGGAAGAAAGAACTGACAATAAAGTTGCCATAAGAAACAGAAATATACCCAATTAAAAATATACCCTTATATATTAAATTACCTTAAGTTCAAAGATAAACGTTTCACTCTCCAATATGAAATGTTTATCATTTAATACATCTCTGTAGCATCTTTCCTCATATGAAGGAAGTTGAAAACATAAAATGCCAGCATGTGGCCCTAACTTTAATGAAAAGTTACAGTATGATATCTGTCTGCAATATCCTAAAAATATGGAGTAGTGTTAAAAGGTAAGATGGCATGAGATGGCTTGAGGTGGCATAGGGCCATAGCTTTTGCCTCAGTTATGATGGTATACAATCACAATCCAGTGTTGTAAATTTCCTGGTGCTTTTCTCCATCCTTATTGCTTTTTCCAGCATAGATTGATTCAAGACATATACAAATCTCTTTACTCATGTAGACTTAAATTGTGTGGAATCCACTTTTAAAAATTGCACTTTTTTGTAACTGCCCATATTTCCAGTGGAGGAAAGGGAAAATTTGCAACTAAAAATCCAAATATTAAATGTATCTCTCAGTACTTGCATGCTCTGGGTACACCTTTGATTTCACTTCAAATATAGAGTAAATCTAAAATACATCCAGACATAAGAGGGCCTGAAAAATCCAGTTCAGAGAAAATGAGATGCAGTTAGCAAAGATTACATGCATCAGTGAAGTGTACTAAATTGAACACTTTTAAATGCCAGAGATTTTCCCCGTGAAACTGGGGAGTTTGAAAGAAAAATCAATAATGTTGGGGAAGGGAACCTTCTTCACACATCTCTAATTAGTCATAGCAGAATCTGGTGGATTTCCATATTATGACTTTATCAAACTTGCGAAATTGGTTTTGATCCCAGATTCATTTGGTACATCTTCCAGAAGCAGCTCCACTCCAGACAATCAAAGGGGTTTTCAACCTTGAATAAGCTTCAAGATCACTCTTTCAGTTTGGACCCATCCTATATTACATTTGGTGTCTGTAGAATGTTGACTACAGCAATCTCCCTGGTACTACCCTGTAAATGCTCCATTTCTAAAAACAGGCAAAGTATATTCAAACTGGTTGGCTTCAGGTATAGCATGAGCCTTCAAAATCTGTATTAGTAAGTGAAACCAGGCATAAAGAGGCACACTTCTTCAGATCTTCTACTTTTTAATAAATTGAATAAATATTGGCCATATTGTTTATATTAGGGCATGAACCCATCTGTAAAGTCACTGCTCAATTTTAATAATGGAGTAGGTAAAAGGTTCTGTATTTTTCTGCATAATCAATACCAAAGCTGCTGATGCAAATTTATTTGAACTCCAGGGAACATATCCTTTGAAGTTCTGGGAAAATTTTAAATAAAGTGTACAAATCAATAAGTGGACAAAAACATCTCTGTCAAAGTGTTCATTTTTATTCAGAGAAGAAATATATCTTTAAGTGTATAATCTCTCTCACTCCCTCTATGAACCTTTTCCCCAAATCATTTCTTTTACAAAAGAAACTCACGACTACAATCAGCTGAACATAAAACATTCTTTTTGGTCATAATTATAAGTGGTATGGAGGTACCTCTCTGAACAGGATGATTCTTCAAGCCCTAAAGAGTCTTCCTCTTTCTACCCTTTTATAATCTATTTTTCTCCTTTCCCATCATTTCACATTCAAGTTTTGGACGCTGAGCTATCTAGGATGGTCTGAGGCCATTTCCAGAAGGCCTAATTTGGTAGCATGTCTTGTTTTCAATGGGATGCATATATGAGATTTAAAAAAAATTTTGTTTCATGACTGTCTATTTTCATGGTCCACTAAGCAAAAACACAAAGCATTTTTTTTCCTTACCCCTATTTTCCCTTCCTTCCTTCATTCTCTTTCTTCCCCTGTGGAGTTCAAATTAAAAAAAGGTGAAAATTGAAGCTGTTGTACGCAAGGCAATTGCAACATGCATATTTGATTTTTATGATGGATCTAAATTGCTGAATAAGGCCATGGAACAAAGGGAGACTGCAGCTTCCTGCCCATCACATGCAGCCACTGAATGCAGAACAAAAGCTTTGGCCATTAGGGGCTCAGCAGGAAGACACATTATATAAATGACTTTGTCTTCTCTGCCCCCTCCCCCCTACTGGGTGCACTGGACAGGGACGGGTGTGTGTGTGTGTGTGTGTGTGTGTGTGTGTGTGTTATGATTTGCTAGGGCAGGAGATAAGAAATCCTAGGAGAAGCATGGGAATAGAAATGAACAGCACATTATGATTCAAAAGGGTCACGCTTTCCTCACTACACCAGTGTAGCTCTTACAGTGCTGTGGTCAGAGCGCCACCTAAGACAACTACTCCCCTACCAAACTTGGCGTGTATTCAGAGTAACCTGTAGCTTTTCTTTATACTGTTTTGTTTCTTTCATCAGGAATGATGGAGTCAAGTAGAAGGAGAAAAACATTTGGAAAAATATTGAGCCCTAGTATTCCAAGGTAATTGCTAGGTCGGCTTCAAGAACAGACAGACATACAGTTTACTGTGGCACCAGTTTCCTAGGAAAATCCACACTAACTCCTCCTTCCAGGCTCAAGGCTTTTCTTTTGGCAGGACAAGAGATGATATCAATAAAAACGTCCTAAGCTATCACATAGCAAAGTCGATCTATTTTTAAGAGGTCCCCTGTGGTTGTGACTTGAATAGGTACTACTGTCCTATCTAGCCTGAAAAATCAGCAATCCTGCACACACATTCTCAACAATCTCTGAAGAGTGTTTCTGTTTTGTAGAAGAATTTTATTAATTTTTTTCTGTTTTTTATTTTTATCTTCCTCATCCCTGTGAATTACCTGAAGATATAGAAAAATGTTAGTAAGTTTCACAAAGGTGAATCATTTTACTACTTCTGTTATTAATGTAAGGGGTAAGGAAGAGGAGAGAGTCTCTGCAGGATCTAGGTTGAAACATAGATTGTACATTATTAAAGGTAACACAGTGAACTGGGCATGTCAGGACTGACACCCAGGTCACTGAACGCCTATTTCCACCCAACTGTCACTATACATTTCATGTGGGGAAACATCTCCGTGTAAGTTTCTACTTCAGAAATTGTACTAGGATTTTCCAATAATCCTCCAACTCTCTAATACAGTGGAGAAAGCAGTGGGCTAAAATAACTGATGGCCTTTCTGTCATGTGCATGGAGCCAGAACTGAGGGTTCTTGGAGAGAATGAATCTTAAAGACAAAACCAACTTAAGAGTGTATCCTGAAGTCACCTAACAATAACTGAATTGTGTAAAGCTAGCTAAAGGAAATGCTATGAGACAAGTACCATTTGTCACATACTATCATTACTCTGTCAAAATGGGCTATTCATTTAAAATAAGGTAGAATCTTATGACTTATATAAAAGCTGAGAGGTTATGAGGGACAAAGAGTGGGTTGTCACTATAGAGTAGTT